CCCCAAGTGCTGAGATTACAGGCATAAGCAACCGCATCCAGCCCAGTAATGCCATTTTAACCCCACATTTTATTTTCCTTTTATTGTATTTTTTTCTTTTATATAGTGGAAGAAATCTCAGCAGGAATTTGATCACCAAAGATCCTTTACTAAAGCTAAACCTTTCAAAATAATTGAAATACATCCTAATGTACCCTAAATAATTTCCTCCTCAAAGTTTGGCTCTTTCTAAAACATGCCTTGGGTTGCCATTTGACTTCCTGTTACATTTAGACAGAAACGTAAATCTTTTAGTAAATATACTGCTTTAAGATGTATCCAGGCCTCTCAAAATCAGCTCTTTATTATTCTTGATTGCTATTCTTTGCCTTTTCCATCCCTTTCTAGAACTGCAGGGCCCCAACATATGTATCTCATAAAAATAGAAAATATAGTCTACAAAAGACAGCTGGGGTGGAAAGTGTAGCGATCATCGCTTTGTCATTGCCTATTTTTTCTCTTCAGCCTCACTGGCAACGTATTTAATTTGCTTTTTGTTATGAGCCCTATCCTCTTTTTTTTCTGTATTTTGTTCTTCAAATGTACTTCTCTTTGAAGCTGTTTATTATGGACTGTATTTTCTTTTTTAAAAACATTTCAACTTTTATTTTAGATCGGGGGTACATGTGCAGGTTTGTTACATGGTTATATTACATGATTCTGAGATTTGGGGTGTGATTGACCCCATCACCCAGATAGTGAGCATAGTACCCAATAGGTAGTTTTTCAACACTTGACCTTCTCTCTCCCTTCCCCCATGGTGTATATGTGCCACATTTTCTTAATCCAGTCTATCACTGATGGACATTTGGGTTGGTTCCAAGTCTTTGCTATTGTGAATAGTGCCACAGTAAACATACCTGTGCATGTGTCTTTATAGCAGCATGATTTATACTCCTTTGGGTATATGCCCAGTAATGGGATGGCTGGGTCAAATGGTATTTCTAGTTCTAGATCCTTGAGGAATCGCCACACTGTCTTCCACAATGGTTGAACTAGTTTACAGTCCCACCAATAGCGTAAAAGCGTTTCTATTTCCCCACATCCTGTCCAGCACCTGTTGTTTCCTGACTTTTTAATGATCACCATTCTAACTGGTGTGAGATGGTATCTCATTGTGGTTTTGATTTGCATTTCTCTGATGGCCAGTGATGATGAGCATTTTTTCATGTGTCTGTTTGCTGCATAAATGTCTTCTTTTGAGAAGTGTCCATTCATATCCTTTGCCTACTTTTTGATGTGGTTGTTTGATTTTTTTTCTTGTAAATTTGTTTAAGTTCTTTGTAGATTCTGGATATTAGCCTTTTGTCAGATGGGTAGATTGTAAAAATGTTTTCCCATTCTGTAGGTTGCGTGTTCACTCTGATGGTAGTTTCTTTTGCTGTGCAGAAGCTCTTTAGTTTAATTAGATCCCATTTGTCAATTTTGGCTTTTGTTGCCATTGCTTTTGGTGTTTTAGTCATGAAGTCCTTGCCCATGCCTAGGTCCTGAATGGTATTGCCTAGGTTTTCTTCTAGGGTTTTTATGGTTTTAGGTCTAACATTTAAGTCTTTAATCCATCTTGAATTAATTTTTGTATAAGGTGTAAGGAAGGGATCCAGTTTCAGCTTTCTACATATGGCTGGCCAGTTTTCCCAGCACCATTTATTAAATAGGGAATCCTTTCCCCATTTTGTGTTTTTGTCAGGTTTGTCAAAGATCAGATGGTTGTAGATGTGTGGTATTATTTCCGAGGGCTCTATTCTGTTCCATTGGTCTATATCTCTGTTTTGGTACCAGTACCATGCTGTTTTGGTTACTGTAGCCTTGAAGTATAGTTTGAAGTCAGGTAGCATGATGCCTCCAGCTTTGTTCTTTTGGCTTAGGATTGTCTTGGCAATGCAGGCTCTTTCTTGGTTCCATATGAATTTTAAAGTAGTTTTTTCCAATTTTGTGAAGAAAGTCATTGGTAGCTTGATGGGGATGGCATTGAATCTATAAATTACCTTGGGCGGTATGGCTATTTTCACAATATTGATTCTTCCTATCCATAAGCATGGAATGTTCTCCCATTTGTTTGTGTCCTCTTATTTTGTTGAGCAGTGGTTTGTAGTTCTCCTTGAAGAGTTCCTTCACATCCCTTGTAAGTTGGATTCCTAGGTATTTTATTCTCTTTGTAGCAATTGTGAATGGGAGTTCACTCATGATTTGGCTGTCTGTTTGTCTGTTATCGGTGTATAGGAATGCTTGTGATTTTTGCACATTGATTTTGTATCCTGAGACTTTGCTGAAGTTGCTTATCAGCTTAAGGAGATTTTGGGCTGAGACAATGGGGTTTTCTAAGTATACAATTATGTCATCTGCAAACAGGGACAATTTGACTTCCTCTTTTCCTAATTGAATACCCTTTATTTCTTTCTCTTGCCTGATTGCCCTGGCCAGAACTTCTAACACTATATTGAATAGGAGTGGTGAGAGAGGGTATCCTTGTCTTGTGTCAGTTTTCAAAGGGAATGCTTCTAGTTTTTTTCCCATTCAGTATGATATTAGCTGTGGGTTTGTCATAAATAGTTCTTATTATTTTGGGATATGTCCCATCAATACCTAGTTTGTTGAGAATTTTTAGCATAAAAGGCTGTTGAATTAAGGAGGTAACTTCTGACATATTATAAATAGTACCATTTAAAAATAAAGCTCTTATATTACTCTCTTGGCTGGGCATGGTGGCTCATGCCTGTAATCCCAGTACTTTGGGAGGCCAAGGTTGGGGGACCATTTGAGGTCAGGAGTTTGAGACCAGCTTGGCCACTATGGCAAAACCATGTCTCTACTAAAAATACAAAAATTAGCCAGGCATGGTGGTCTCTGCCTGTAATCCCAGCTACTTGGGAGGCTGAAGCAGGAGAATTGCTTGAACCCAGGAGGTGGAGGTTGCAGTGAACTGAGATTGCACCACTGCACTCCAGCCTGGGTGGCACAATGAGACTCTGTCTCAAAAAATTAAAAAAAAAAAAAAATAAAGCTCTTACATTACTCTCTTAAATGTCAAAGAATTCTTAATACCACAGCAATTTGATACCAACTAGAGTGATTTGATATCCATCATCTAGTTAAAATTATATAAACAAGCTCTTTAATATACATTTTCATCATTTTTCTCCATTTCACTTCTACACAGAAGTTCATTCTAAAATAATAATGTTCAAAAACCTTTTATTTATCATTCTATTATACTTTTCTACTTCTACAACAAAACAAAATAAATATGTAAGTTAAATGCTGCAAGTGTTTTAAATTTTTTCCGAATTTAGTTATGATTAGCACAGAATTAACCAATACAACAGAGAAATATTATAAATTTTTATGCATAATTGTTAAACATAAAAAGTTTTTATTAGAATTACATATATTGATAAGCTGAGTAGCACTTTTTCTCAATTGCTTCTTGTATCCATGAATGAATTATTTATTGTTAGAATGAGACAGGGTGTAGTATCCATTCTATTTCTATTTGTTATTTTTACGGATAGAAACATTGAAAAACTGTGTTCACATAAGTAAGTAGGTAGGAATAGATTTCATAGCATTGACACTTAAGTTTAAACTATTTCATAGATATAAGACAAAGATCACATAGTCATTTACCACAAAGATGTTTTAAATGATCTATCAGCTGACAATTCAGTTCTGATGTCCTTCAATTCTGTTGAAAGCAAAGAATTGAAAGCCACATGACTTGCAAATAGATTTATTTCTCAGTCATTAGAATCCAGTTAAATACTGATATTTGGAAGTGTCCTTTTTTTTTTTTCTTTCTGAGACAGGGCGCCACTCTGTCACCCATGTTGGAGCACACTGGCACCATCACAGCTCAGTGCAACCTCTGCCTCCCAGGCTCAAGCCATCCTCACACCTCAGCCTCTCAAGTAGCTGGGACTACAGGCGTGTGCCACCACGCCCAGCTAATTTTAATTTTTGTGGAGACGGGGTTTTGCCATGTTCCCTAGGCTGGTCTTGAACTCCTAGATTCAAGGGATCTGCCTACCTCAGGCCCCCAAAGTGCTGCGATTACAGACACAAGCCACCGTACCCAGCCTGGAGTTGTCCCTTTGTAGCACAGAGATTTCTCCACCTTGGAGCAATGCCCCAGGGTAAGTCTGGTCAGCAGTGAGGTGTGATTTTCTTTTGTAAGGTGAGAGAATGAACCTAATGAGGGAACAGGAAGGAGAGGAGGACCAGAAGAAAGAGTCCTTACACATACTAATTTTTGGAAAGTGTACTTATCATAGTTCAGGATCTGTAATTGATTCTTTAAAATCCTTTGGAAAGTCCTCAAATAGTATACCAATTCGAAAACCACTGTTACAAAGATTTCTGCCAAGTATCGTCATTTGTTAACTTGACAATAGAGCTTTTTTTAATTTATTTTTTTCTCAGAAGACCTATTAATATCTGTAAGAGCCAACATTCTTGGAATACTCCCTGGGAAATGCTGCTTTAAAGATTTGATTAATAAATCTTAATTGGCTCCCCAATTAGATAATAAAATCTACAGCTGTGAGCCAGAGGGTGTTGAAGTTGTAGGAGAACATATATAATGATGATGATGACAATATTGATAGCTATTACTGATTACGTCAGTTTCGTATAGCAAAGACCGACCCTAACAAACACAAGTGAATACCAGCAATGAGGTACTTGTCTCACACAACAATAAACTCCTGGCCAGGTAGCCCTGGAGTAAAACAGTAGCTCAACAAGGTCATCAAGCACCCAGCTCTTTCTCTCCTGCCACGTCATCAACCTTAGCCGTGAACCTTGTGCTTGTTGCCTCATGACATCAACAGGGCTGCTCTACCTCCAGCCTCACAGTTAAGTTCCAGGCAAGACGAGAGAGCGGGGCAGACAGAGAGAGAGGAGCAAGGACTTGTGGCTTAGAAGCTTTGCCTTTTTATTTGGAAAAGTCAAAGACAGGTACTTACATCTCATTGGCCATAGCTGAGTTTTCTGGCCACCCCCAGCTGCAGGGAAGCTGGGAGTTTGGGTATTTCCTCTTCGACACTTTCTAGTAGAAGAAAGCAAAGAAGCAGGTGTCTGAGAAGGGATTTTGAGTGAACCAGTTTAGAGGATCTGTCACATCCTTCTATTCTGAGCTAGACATTTTATACATATTACATTTATTATAACAATCCTATGTGATAGGTTTATTATCCCCATTTTTCAGACAAGGAAATGAAAACTCACTGAGGTAAAGTAACCTCACAAGGTACTATAACTGATTTGTGTGAAAAAACTGGGATTGGAACAGTTCTTCTGATACTAAAGTCTGTGCTTTCCATCTCTGACCACCGCATGGGCTGTTTTGCTCTACATCCTGATACATTCCATGTCCTTCATAGCACAAGACCTAGAAAGTTCTGTTGGTTGCCGGGCGCAGTGGCTCACGCCTGTAATCCCAGCACTTTGGGAGGCTGAGGCGGGCGGATCACGAGGTCGGGAGATCGAGACCATCCTGGCTAACACGGTGAAACCCCATCTCTACTAAAAATACAAAAAATTAGCGGGGCGTGGTGGTGTGTGCCTGTAGTCCCAGCTACTCGGAGGCTGAGGCAGGAGAATGGCGTGAACCCAGGAGGCGGAGCTTGCAGTGAGCCGAGATGGTGCCACTGCACTCCAGCCTGGGCGACAAAGCGAGACTCCGTCTCAAAAAAAAAAAAAAAAAAAAAACCCGAAAGTTCTCTTGGAGTGCAGAGACTCCCAAAGCCTGTGCCAAGAGCAGAGGATTGGGGTGGGAAGGAGAGAATAAGAAAGACTCCCTCGGCCCCTCTTCCCCTCTCCCACGTAACTTAATCTTGACAAGAGCGGGTCACAGGAGAGAAGGGCAGGGAAGGAAGCAGCAGCTCTCCGCTGGGAACAGGCCACTGGGGCTCCTTTTGTGATTCTGACCCTGGACTTTCAAGTCACCTGGACTCTGCAGGCCTCAGTCTTGCTCTTCAGAGTGTATTTCCATGATTTAAGACAAATTCCCAGGACCTATGTTTGGGAGACTGCAGATTTGTGGTCTTGTGGGAAGTGAGTGTGATCACTCCTGAGGCAGCGTCCCCGTGCTCCGGAAGCTGTACCTTAGAATCCACCTGGCGTGAGACACCTTTCCGGCCCCTCCCCTCCCCTCCAAGCCCACCATGGACTCAGAGATAAATTCACTTCAGGGGCTCTGGGCTGTTGTGACCTAACAGGTCATGACTGATGAAGCAAGGGAGCCCCAGAAACTCCACGTGAGGGCACAGACCTCCAAAACTTTCTAGAATTCAACTGCTTCTCACAACTGTTAGTCTGGTCCAAGCCAGCATTGTCTTCCACTTAGATGACTGCAATGGCCTTCTATTGGTTCTCCCTGCAGCCACTTTGCCCTATAGCCTATCTGCCACAGAGCATCCAGGGTGATCATATGAATGCCTCGGACAGGCTGTGATGTCCTCTGCCTCAACCCAATAGCAGCTCCCTTTTTCTTTCAAAGTAAAAGCCAAAGTTTTGACAAAGGGCTTCTAAGGCCATACCCAATCTGCATGCTGTTCCTCACCTTCCCTGCCCTTCCCCCCATACCTTTCTAACCTCACTTTCTACCTCTTTCACCCTCTAAGACATCTTCCTGCCTCAGGGCCTTTGCACAGATTATTCTTTCTGTTGAGATCATTCTTCTCTCAGAGATCCAAATGGCTCTCTCATCTCCTTGAAGGCTTTGCTCAAAATGCCACCTTCTCATTGAGGCCACACCAACTACCCTGATTTAAAAATTCCACCCCCTCCACTTCTTCCCCCAACATGACCAGTCCTCCTTACCCTCCTCTGCTTTTTCCATGGCACTCATACCTTTCTAATACAGTATGTAACTGATTTATTTATTTAGCCTATAGACTGCTTCCTGCCATGTGGCAGAGACAATAACACTCACCAAATATTCCATGTGCTTCCTCACATTTGCTAGTTTTTTTGTTGTAGGCGAGGCTGTGTGATTAGTCCTGAGAGAAAGCATTGTGAGTCACTTCCAAGCTGCAGTACTGACAAGCCCATGGGAAGTTCTTCGGTCTCACTTTCCTCTGCCATCACAACTAAGGAACCTCAGATGAAACCTCTTGGGCCCCTGAGTCACTGCCTGGAAGACAATTGCCTTGTAGAATCACAATGGATTTTGTGCAAAAGAGAAATAAATAAAGCATTGTTTTGTTAAGCCACTGATACTCTGCCCTTATTAATACAGTATAACTTAGACTTCCCTGACAAATAGACCCCATTAGAATATAGGGTCCATGAGACCAGGATTGTCGTCTGTTTTGTTCTCTGATATATTTTGAACACCTGGATCAGTGCCTGGCACATAATAATCCCTCAGTAGATTTGTTGAATTAATGAATAGACTCCTGGACACAGGCCAGCATCCCTGACCCAGTCCAGTTTCTAGCTTCCTCTGGTGTGTAACAAATTCCCAGGACCTATGCTTGAAAGCTCCTTATGAGTAGGGAATAAATTGCAGTCATCTTGTATTGTGCCCAGTTTCATAAGGCCTTGTCCATTGTTACTATTCAGTAAATAGGGACTGACTGACTGACAGAAATAACTCAGTGCTAGCCCAGCTCTCTCCTGCAGTCGTCAGGTGGAAAGCTCTCAGCAGGAGAAGGAAGATGGCCAGTTCTAGTTCACGTACTCCTACAGTTTCAGCACAGAATATTGCTTCACCAAGAAAACTAAGGCTGTTTTGCCTGATCCCCTTCAGTGCCTCACTCTCTGACCTAAAATCTGGCCTCTCTCTGTACCTGTGCTCACGCCTTCACTGCCCTGTTCAAGGGCACTAAGCAGGGTACACTATTCTTTCCAGATTTCTACCTCCCATTCATACCTCAGGCCAATATTTTCTGATCTCTGACACTGCAGTTGTACTGAGCTTCCTCTTGGTGATGGCACCCAGGACCTTCTGATTGCCAAATGCAGTGGGACTTTTTTTTTTTATTATTATTGTGTGACGCACTGGAGACCTTCAGCTAATCTCCTTGTCACCTGCTACTACTTTGGCTCCCATGGCACCATCCTTTCCAGGTTCTGCTTATATCTCCTTGGCCATTCCTGTGCCTCCGTGGGCTCTTTTTCCTCTGCTCATTTCTTCAGGGTCCTCCAGGATGCTGTCCTCAGCTCACTGCTATGGGCACTTGACACAATTTCCTCATGGTTTCAACAACCTCCTGGATACTGATGATTGCCAAATCTTTGTCTCCAGCCCCAGTCTCTCTCCAGAACTTTAGCTGATTTACGTATCTGCCACCTGGAGAGACCCACCTGGAGGTCCCATGACTTGGGTGTCTTTTATGCACCCTCTCATATCTTCTTGGCCTAATTTCTGAGTCCATTAGTGGCTCTGGCAAGTGGTTCTACCCTGGCTTTGACTCAGTTTACACTGACAGTAACTTTTTTCAACAATTGGCTTAGACCATGCTTTGTACCTTGGGGCTTCTCAGATGTCCCTGAATGCCTAGTCATTCTGGTTGCCTGTGGACATGGCTAACACCTAGGCGTGTGCAACCCAGGTTGGGGGTGGGGGTTGGGGATAACATTTCTTGGGGAAACTGGATTACTAAAGTACAAGAATCAGTGGATAACTGCCTCTCCCTCTTATCTCTCAGGTGGACAGTCCTGAAATGCAGCATAAATGCTTCTTGGAGGCCCCAGGGGCCCAGCATCAGTGTCCCATGGCAGTGACCAATATGATACACATCTATTACTGGATTTCCATTTTTCCATTTTTCTTTATCCCACCCTCCCTGATCCCTCTCTCTGTTCTTGGGATCACTTCCCAGATAAATGACCCATGCATAAACCTTTGTCCCAGGCCTTCCTTTGAGGGAATCAAGGCTAAAATATCCTTTAGGCCCCTCTATCTCAATATGTCTAAAGCAGGACTCTTGGTCTTGCCCTCAATCCAACTCTTCTTCTTCTACTCTTACCCCAATCAGTCATCAAAGCTAAAAACTAGAGACTCATCTTTTCCCTCTTTCTCATCTCGATTTCAAGTCAATCCTGAATCTGCCCCTCTACTCCTTTCCTAAGACCACCTCACCCAAGCTGCTGCCTCCCCTCAGTTCTCTCTGCCTCTCCCCCAATCCTCTCAAATCCATCCTACACCCAATCGCCAGTGTGAAATATCTCAAGCGCAAATTTTTTGCCACAGTATCCTTGACTTAAGCCCCTTCAAAGGCTCTGTTGGTAGGATAAAACCAAGCACCTTGTTATGACATGGGGCCTCCTGGGACCTGCCCTTTGCCCACCTCTTCAGAATCATGGCTGAACTGCTTATGCTTTCCAGCACCATTCCCATTGTGCACTCACCAGAGAGGAAGAAAATACTTATTTTGAAGAGACCTTCTATTTTGTCTGCTGCAGAGCATCCCAACAGCATAGCTGCTATGAAGACAATGTTGGAAGAGCTATTCTCTAGACTTTTACATTCACAGGGCCTTTCTGGAGTCATAGCTTCACAATACACAGATGACAGGACAGTCAGGATGAGGGTTGGAGAAAGTACTGGAGGTACAGTCAGCACACCTGGGTTCCAGGCCTGCTGTGACACTGGCTAGCTGTGAGACTGTGGGTAAATTTCCTGGTTTCTGTATTCACAAAGTGGGAAAATGCCATCTAATTGCCACAGGGTGTGTGATGAGCACATAAAAGTAATGATGATGATGATGGTGATGGCTAACATTTATTGAGCACTTACCAGCAAGGCAATGGCAATGAAGAAGGTACCTGGTAAGCAGGTCATAGCTCTGCTGCTAACTTAGTAATGTTTTCTCAGTAAGTCATTTCCTGTGTCTTGACTTCAGTCTCACCCTGCAAGCAGTCGAGTTGAACTAGTTCAGGGCTTTTGACTGGGAGGTCACTAATATCCTTGATAATATAAGATAAAGTTCTGAGTTTATGAGCAGCTAGCACACTGAGCTATTGCTTGTCCTAAAGTGGGCTGAGCATACATCCGTTTTTAGCATCATTGGGATGCACACAGTGTGTTGAAGGTGACCTCACCAGCCCTTACATCAGCCTCCTTCCCCTGTGAAAAGAAATGATTGTGTCCTGAGCGAGAAAGTTAGAGATACTGAATCTCTTGCACTTTTTATTTTTTATTTTTTGTCCAGCACACGGTAACAATGAGGGTAATTCTGCCAAAAAAACAACTTTTCTTGGCATGCATTGTGCTGTTCAAATCCATGGAATTTATTGCCACATCATTGCCAAGTTGGACAAATTCTTATCAGAGCCCAGTCAAATCCAAGGACAACTCAAGGCCTGCCATCTCTCTGCATGATGTCCAAGCTTCTCGTGTGGCCTCCTCACCCACCGTGGATTCTGCACACCTTCCTGAGGGCCTGGTAACAAGGAAGACGGACACTGGTACTCTGATCCTTCACCACTCAGCTCTAAAATGATGCCTTTGCTATAACTTTAGGGTTTTGTTTTGTTTGTTCATTTGTTTCCTCCCATCCTTCAATACCTTATTATTTCCCTGTATGAAGTGAAAATGTGATGGAGTAAATATATTGACTATTTTCTCTGTTCTGTTACTACCAAAGTCACACTCCCCATTTTGACTCATTTCTTTTCATATTTGATTATTTTCTGACTAGTTTCTGATCATATTTACATGATTTTCAATAACCTGCTGCTTGCTACATAATTGAGGTGGTCAGAATAAAAATCCCGAAGTGGGCATGAATTGGAAGACATTTATCCAGCCATGGTGAGGGGAGTGAAACTGCATCCATGGCAAAGAAGATACAAACTGGGCAGAGTGATTGTCCCTTTATTTCTCCAAAAGCCAGGGGTTTGTAGAAGAGCATTCCTGGGTGGGCTTTCCTGACGGGGAGAGCTAAGGGCAGAGAATCTAGGATAACACTTGGCCTTCATCCATTCCATGACACCTTACACCTTTGGCATCTATTTGGCTCTTGGTAGGATGGTGGAAATATGAGATGAAGAAAGAGGAGATTTGCCACCTCTGACTTCCCCTCATGACTCCCAGGTCACATTAGCACTAACACTAGTTATATTTTAAAGTGTCTTATTTGTTTATGTCACAAATAATGATTGAACACACACTGTGTATATACCAGGCTCTGTACTAGACACTGGAGACACAATGCAAAGCAGCCATACTCTCAGCTCTGTGGAGTACTCACGATGTAGTGCATGCAAAAAGACAATCAGATGTGGAAAGTGTCCAATGAGTTCTGTAGAATGTGGCCCATTAGATCTCTTATTTACAGCATTGTGGCTGGTATAATTAAATTATTTGAGCCATTATTTGTTAGTGTTGGTCTTCCATTTTCAATTAAAAATCCCATAAGGACTGTAAGTCCTAGCATAATGCCTAGCCTGTGAGGAAGAGCTCAATAAACATTTATGAAGAAGGAAAGAAGAGGAGAGGAGGGAAGAAAGGAGGGAGGGAAGAAGAAGGGATGAAATAGAAAGAAAAGAAAGAGAAATCAGTTGTAGTGGTTCGCCCCTGTAATCCCAGTGACTTGGGAGGCTGAGACAGGAGGATTGCTTGAGCCTAGGAGTTTGAGGTTGCAATGAGCCATGATTGCATCACTGCGCTCTGGTTTGAGTAACAGAGTGAGACCCTGTGGAGAAAGAAAGGCAGGAAGAAAGTAAGAAATAAAGGAAAGAAAGAATGAGAAAGAAAACTAAAGAACGAAAGAATGAAAGAAAGAGAGAGAAAGAAAGGAAAGAAAAAGGAGAAAGAAGGAAAGAAAGAAAGAATGAAAGAAAGAAAGGAAGGAAGGAAGGAGGAAAGAAAGGGAAAGAAAGAAAGAAAGAAAGAGAAAGAAAGAAAGAAAGAAAGAAAGAAAGAAAGAAAGAAAGAAAGAAAGAAAGAAAGAAAGAAAGAAAGAAAGGAAGGAAGGAAGAAAGAGAGAGAGAGAGAGACAGGAGAGGAGAGGGAAGGAAAGGAGAGGAAAGGAGAAAGGTAGATTAGTGTCCTGGAAGAAGGGTGAAAGGACACTGTGAATAAACTCTGGGCATGTAGAGGGAAGCTGGGTGCTGAGAAGGCAAGGAAATGGATCTAAGTGAGAGGAGGTTAAGGCGGCAGGCACTAGGTGTATAGGAAGGAAGTGGATGTTTCATCTGGGAAAATTCCATGGCAGAAAAAAGGCAGGTGGCTGTGCAGAGCCTGGGGACTTGTCATAAAGTTCACCCTCTGTCTGGCTGGGAGGTGTCCTGACTGCAGAGAGCCACACCTCTGGCTGCACCTGGGAATCCCTGACCTAGGGCTGATGCTGTGCCAGGTGGGGCAGAGAACTCTGGACTCTGGACTCATACAGACCTGATTTGCCTTTAGCCTGTGCTGTCAATAACCTAAAGTTAGGTTTCTCTAAAGAGCTGTTGAGGTGATGAGCTGTGCTGGAAGAACCTGGCCAATGCCTTCTGGTGGAGGCCAGCCTGGGCTCTCTTCATAAAGATGCATTTTGTTTTAGCTAATTGATCCCCATGAACCATTGTTCTAGTTTACTGTTTCTCATCCTTAGCTATATTCGCACTATAATTACACTTTTCTCACTATTTCTTAGAAGCCTTCTATTTCAAATAGAACTGTGGTCTTACCTATAAAAACCACATTTCCCAAACACGGATTGTGATTGATAGTCATAAGGGCACTTATAGGGAGAACTCTGGAAAAATGAACAGCACGGCTGGAGGGTATAGTATGTGCACGGCCTTGTGCTGAGTGCTTGCATTGCAATATTCCATCTAGTCTTTGCAGCAGCCCTGTGGGGCAGGGGCTATTGTTATCCCCAGTTGACAGGGAAGGAAATGAGATCCAAGCAGGCTTCAGTTACCTCTCTGCAGTCTCTCAACCACACATGGTGGAAACAGGACCCACAAGCAGGGCTGACTCTCTCGGTCAGGCCTAGACACTCCAGCCCCAAGCCAGGCCAAGGTGATGCAGGCCCCAGTGGCAATGAGCTGCGGTTTTAGAAGAAAAGTGGACAAACAGTTTCTACCCTAATTGTTACATCTATTTTTAAAGTCTTTTTCTTTTATCTTGATAAGTGATGGTCATTTTTCATATACTATAAGTATGTAAAGTTTTATTTAATAAAGTCTGAAAGTGAACATTTAAAAGAGAAGTGTTCTGTAATGGTGTAGTGGATATATGGATACAGGGAGAGTGAAGATGAACACAGGTGATGATCTGGGGAAACTCAGGCCGCCCTCAGGGCTGATTTTGATCTTTGCTATTGGACTCTGTGACACTGTCAGTCTGCCAACCCTCATGGGACGTGCCACTGGGGTTTGTTGCATCTTACTGGGCTTTGCCTAATTGGTCATGCCTGTGTGGGTCTGTCTCATCTCTCGGGTCATGGCTGTGCCCCATCTTGACAGAATAAATATCAGAAACTAGGTAAAAGGGGATTTGGCAAATATCAGGAAACGAAATGTCTTCAGCTGCAATGGGCTCAGGACACACAAGGGCTTGCTGGGAAGCGACACGAAAGATGAGGATCCCCTCTGTCCTCTGCACAGGACCTGTGGCAAGTCAGGAGGGGCATGTACACACAGAGAGAGGGTCTCTGGAGGGAAAAGGCTGTTGTATTTACCAGGAGGCTGCAGCCTCAGAGATTTCCTGCTGTCACAGTGAAGGCGACCTGCTTCAGGCCTGTGTAACTATCGTTCTGACCTTTACTGTTTCTGTAGGCATGAAGCCTCATACTTTCCAGGTACTCATTAAAATTGTTCTGAATTCACTCCCCTTGCCACTGCACTTGGGAGAGAACATTCTACGTAGAGGACCACAATTAGAGTTGACTAGGCACCCAGCTCTGTTCCTCCACTACTGAAAACTAGATAATGCAGCAATCTACTTTCTAATGATTACTGGGAGTTTCTTTTGCATGACGCAGTTCTCCCAGGACCACTCCCTGAGTGAATGGATAATCAGGTCCCAGAGCTGCAAGGCTTTATCCAGTTCTTGGATAAAACTATATAAACCTATCTCCTAAAGTATCCCTGCTGCCTCCTCACTCCCTACCCACCCCATAGCTGACGAGGTGGAAAAACTATTTTTGTGCAGTCCACTCAAAAGCAAAAGTCCTCTTATGTTAAAGAGTGTTAAGTCGTAAGATTTAACAACAGGTCAATAATGCCAAATAACTTGGCTTATTGATAATGAAAGTTGTGTGCCCCTTGTGTTTGTGTTCAAGGTAAGGAAAAGTTAATAGTCTGAGCAAATATTTTTGAGCAGATAATTTCTGCTGCTTTAATAAACAATATGTTTAAGGATGGGGGCTTTAGAATGACACTAATTGGGCCAGGCATGGTAGCTCATGCCTGTAATTCCAACACTTTGGGAGGCCAAGGTGGGAGCATTGCTTGAGCCCAGGAGTTCAAGACCAGCCTGGGCAACATAGTGAGAACTCATATCTAAAATAAAATATTAGCCCTGTGTGGTGGCACACGCCTGTGGTCTCAGCTGCTTGGGAGGCTGAGGAGGGAGGATATCTGGAGTCTAGGAGTTTGAGGCTACAGTGAGCTATGATTGCATCACTGCACTACAGCCTGGGCAACAGAGCAAGAACCTGTCTCAAGAAAAGAATCACACTAATTTCAGTTCAAGTTTCTGCTCTGCCAATTAGCTGTGGCAATTTGGGCAAGTTACTTTCCCTCTCTGAATCTGTTTCTTTATCTGGACATGGGAACACTGTCTCTGGTGTCCCATGGAGCAGAGATTCTGTTAGGCTCACTCTGGTAATGAGGTTTTGATAAGGCCTGATGAGGGTAGGCATCCCATGAAAGCTGAGAGTAGGAACCATTCTGAGGAGCAGGGCATGGGGGTCTTTCAGAGACTGGAACTGGGCCCCAGGGCAGGAATGTGTGGATCTTTACTCTAGTGCTCACCACCTATGTGGCTATTAATACCACTCTCCAAGTGTTGGCCTACCCTTGGTCTGCTTCTCTTTCCTTCATGAAGTAGTTTCTCTCCCTCACCCCAGGTATCCTTTCTCTCCCTCATGGCTTCTGCTTACTCATGTCCATGACTTACTCATGCCCTCAATGCACTCAAGCTCGTCATGGCCTCTCTGGCTTCTTATCTTTCAACTTCAGTTTCTACGGTGAAATAGAGGACAATAGATTTCCTCTATTTTCTCAACTTGAACTTTCTAAAAGCAAAAATTAATGAGAATAAAGCCTTTCGTTTTTTGATATCCTATGAACTGCTGGCTAGACAATGGTTGCAGTTGGGCCCAGGGTGCATCCCCGATGTAGTCAGAGGTGTGTGTGTGTGTGCACTAGTGTGTGTGTATGTTTGAGGACAGTCATATTGGGCAAATGAAAGCCACTGAGGGCAACCTATTTGTTGAGTGCAGGTGATTGATGTGTAGTAGCCCCCCCCCCCAAAAAAAAAAAGTCTCCTAAGGTTATAGTGAAGATGCAACGAGATAAAACTTGTAGGGGACCTAGCACAGAGCTAGGACACGTAGGAAGTTCTAAAAAATAAAATAGCTGCTATGTTATTCATCTTCTTATTATGCGATTGTTGTTATTATTATTCTAATCTACAATGAGTGCAGACTTGGTTCCAAAGGCACAGGGTAATTTTCAGGCTGCTAATAGAAGACACAGTGGGTAATTATTTTCTTCACACAACTAGGTCAACTTCACTAAAGACAGGGAGAGAGACGGGAAATAGAACCTCTCTATGTACAACATCAAGGAATTAAAAAAAAGGTCCTCAGAGCAAACAAACATTAAGAGTTCCTCTTTAAGTTACCCTTTAAAACCACAAATACGATCCTGTGAGCCTACCTAACTCTTTTAAGGACTTCTCTTTTTTCTTAAATAAAGGCACAAATTCTTCATAAGACCTTACGTATTCTGCACCCTCTCTCCCACCGTGCGCGCCACAGACACACACACAGACACACACACACACACACACACACACACACACACACACACACACACACACACATACTTCCCAGCTTCCTTCTGCACCACAAATACCTTGCTTGGGGAGCTGCAGTCACGTTGACCCACTGGCACTTCTGCGACACCAGCACACCTTGTTCGTGTTGTACACAGGGCTCGACACCGCGCTGTTGAGCCTAGGACACTCTTCTCCGCCCTTTCCCAGCCCTTTTCTTAGTTAATGTCCACTCACCCTTTGTCTCTGTTCAAACAGCAGAGAAGTTTTCCCTAGCCCATGTTCTTTTATATAAGGTACACACTCACAGAATCAAATGCATTTTCTTCAGCCCATTATTTTACTGTAATTTGTGTCTGCTTCTCTGAAAAGGCTGTCAACCTCCAGTCCCAAGACCTTACAGGCACTCAGTAAATATCTTTTGATTAAATGAATCAGTGATGGTTTTGCTACTAAATGCAACTGCCTATCTCAGAAGCTAAGACAACACTGGAAGGTAAAAACATTCAATATTACACCATTATTAAAAGTTAAAAACACACATGCAAAGTTCACCAAATTTGACTCTGTTCTATGCTCAAAGGAAATTACAACACATTTTTAAAAACTGTTATTTTACAGGCCACATTCATTAGCCAGAATGCAATAAATTTAGAAATTAACAGGGAGCCAAAAAAAAAATCTATACTCCTTAACTATAAAAACACACTTCTAAAGACCTCTTGGTTTAAAGAGGAAGTAAACCACTTAGAACTAGACCACGGTGAAAGTAGCACACATCAAAACGAATGGAATATGGCCAAACCAATTTTTAGAAAAAAACTCTAGTCTTACATTTATTTATTAGAAATATAAAAAAGATTGAAAAGCAAAACAAAATAAAGCCAAGTAAATAGTAAGAAATAAATTAATATGGAAGCAGAAATTACTGAAACAGGAAAAAAACTCAGCAAAATTAATCAATAAAACCACAGATTTGCTTTATTTTAAGGTAAAAATTATTTGGCTAGAATAGTTAATAAAAAGAAAAACCAATATTACCTATTGCTTAATAGGCCATATCAGGCATGAAAAGGGATTTGTACAGATATAAAAGATCACTTAAAAGGAGCATTATGCACAATTTTATAACAAGGAATTTGAGACCCAGATGAAAAGGATTTTCTAAGAAAATATAAATAACCAAACTTTGGGAAGAATAGAAAACATTAATAAACCATTACGGAAACTGAACTATTAGTTAAATGTGTACCTCCTTCCAGTCCATGCAAGGGCATCAGGCTCAAAAGGCTTATAGGCATGTTCTCCTAAAATATAGATGAACAAATAGTATGTTCATGATCTTACATGTACAGAAGGCCTCCTTAAGTCATAAAAACAAAGAAAAAGGTGAGAAAATTTGACACATCAAAACTAAAATCTTATCGATGACAAAAGACGTCATTAACAAAAGTTATGGTCTAGGAGAAAATATTTGCATTTGCAGATATATATGTGTATGTGCATATATACACACATACACATATGTGCATACATACACGTATGTGCATACATACACATACATAATGCAAACACATATAACAGGCAAAAGAATGGTATCCTGGTGTTATTGACTGAATTGTGTTCTCTCTTGAATTCATATATTGAAGCACAAACCCCCAATGTGATTATATTTAGAGACAGGGCTTTTAAGAGGTAATTAAGGTTAAATGAGATCATAAGGGTTGGATCCTAATCCAATAGGATTGATAGCCTTTTTTTAAAAAAATCATTTTTTGTAGAAATGGTGTATCCCTATGTTGCCCAGGCTGGTCTCAAACTCCTGGGCTCAAGCAATACTCCCTCTTTGGCCTCTCAAAATGCTGGGATTACAGGTGTGAGCTACCATGTTCATGCAACCGGATGGCCTTCTAAGAAGAGGAAGAGACCTTCTCTCTCTCTCTCTCTCTCTCTCTCTTTCTCTCTCTGTCTCCCTCCCTCCCTCCTTGCACACACTAAGGAGAGGCCCTATGAGAACACAGGAAGAAGGCATTGTCTGCAACCCAAGTGACAAACCCTCACCAGACACTAACCCTTCTGGCATCTTGATTTTTGATTTCTAGCCTCCAGAACTGTGAGAAATTTTTGTTGTCTGGCTACCCAGTCTATAGTATTTTGTTATGGCAGCCCAGGCTGACTAAGACACCTGGATATATCAACCTATAAGAAGAAGAAGAAGAAGAAAAGACAAAAAAAAAAACAAACCTGATTTTAAAAAGTCAAAGATATGAACAGGATATTCACAGGATGGTTATGGTCAATAAACATAAGAAAAATGCTTAGCAATACTAAAATACCTTTTTAACGACCATCAGATTGACAAACTCTGTAAACAATTTGCTCATCTCCAGAATTAGCAAGTGTGAGGAGTGATAGAATGTAAATTGGTAACAGTGACTTTCGAGGTAAATATGGGACTATTTTAAAATATAAAAATGTATGTAACCTAAAATCCCACAATTTTATTTCTCTATATCTATTCCTAGAAAGCAACAGACACATACAATATGCTCACCAAGGCATTATTTCTGAAAGCAAAAGCTTTGAAAGAATGAGGGGCTGGCACTGGCAGCGTGGTCAGACAGAGAGAGGCTGGACCCAGAGAGGCTGAGAGGAGAGCCATGGAAAATGCTAGTGGGTTACTGTATCAGGGTAGGGTTGCCCCAGAGAGACGGCTCAGCATTGACTGCCTGGGTTAGGATAGCCAGGGAGCCACAGCCAGGCCACAGAGCAGCCATGGCACCCATAAAAGCTAAGCTGAGATTGAATGAGGCAAGAGCAGCACCCCGTCGCCCAAACCCAGAGAGGAAATGACTAGTTACCAGCCTTGGACTTCAGGTTCTCATGCCTGTAGAACAAGCAGCAAGCAGGCAGACAAGGGACATCACCCTGAAAACCAGAGAAGGGACAGGGCCCAAGGACTCTAGCTCTTCCATCTGTCCAGTAAGGAGCAATAGCCATGCCAGCCCCCTTAGACCCAGGAACCATCACAGGGAGGAAACCAGGAGGAAGAAAGGGTGTCAGAGACACACAGCATCTTATCCAAGAGACATGGTACACCATCTAAAAGGAACTGTTTAAATGATCATGTTAGACTACTGTTTAAATCAGGCTGACTCTTGAGCAGATTTTATTTCCTCCCACTCCCCAGGGGGTGATTTGGTGAGGAAGACCAAATCAGCAAAGAAAGATCATTTTTGTTTGAATATCTGAATTATGAGGTGAGTGCATATGTCATCCTAATAACCTCTGCTTTTTATTTTTCTTTCATGAAAGAAATTTCAAAGTTCAAAGAGAGAAGGCATTAATATTTCTCAAGATGCAAAATATGATTTTATAAAAACAAATTGCAGAAAGCTGTAGGATTTCAAAAGTGGATCCCAAAAATGGTCATGCCCTTTCAGTCCAAGAGCGACATCTCAAAAAGGAAGTGGGGCACAGGCACAAAGCCTGGAAAACCCTGAGGATTCCTGGGAAGCCAGCCCTGGTTTATGGCAGGGAGGGTAGGTATTCTTATACTGATTGCAATACTCTTTGTGGTGATGATTAGCGGTGTGTCGATCTTATTGAATAGAGAAAGAGAGGAGAATTTCAAAATGAACTTGAAAAACATCAACCTTGGAATAAAATAGAAATAATAATATAATAAGAATAATTTGAATCACGATTAGTGTACATCTTACATGCATTATTACATTTTATCTTCACTGTAACCTTACAAAGAAAGCTGTTATTATTATCTCCCATTTTACAGATGGGGAAACCGAGGCTTAGAGATGGGTTGTCTGCAAATATGGCCATGAATTCCTCCATCCCAGTATGCAAATGCCCCTCTTCCCACTGAGTGTTGGAGTCTATTTCCCCTCCTGTTGAGCTTTGGCTGGCCTGTGGTGGCTTTCAACAAAAGAATGAATTGGAAGTGATGACATGCTTGTTCTGGCTTACATCTTAAGAACACTGGCAACTTCCATTTCTGCTCTCTTTGAAGCCAGTTGCCATGTCAGGAAGTCTGAATAACCTGTTAAGAGAGAAAGGCCACATGGACAAAGGCCACATGGAGAAAAGGATCCAATTTTTTATAAGAGACTAAGAAGGAAGAAGGAAAGACCCAGCCAGCCCCCAGCAATTTCAGCTACCCAAGACATGAAGTGTCAGACATGTGAGTGAGGCCTTCTTGGTCATTGGAACCCTAGCCAAGCTCACTGATGAACGCAGCCATGTGAGTGACCCCAGCTGACACAATGTGGAATACAAGAATCAACCCAGTACACCCACAGAATTCTAGTAAATAATAAAATAGCCATTGATCAGGCTACTACATTTGGGAGTGTTTCATTATGCAGCAATAAATATCCAAAACAAGAGATTAGAAGCTTGCCCATGGTCATACAACTGGTAAGTGGTAGAGCCAGGCCTTGAAGCCAGGTATTTCTGACCTCAGTGTCCAGGCTCTTAACAGCTGCATGGCCAAAGACTGTAAGTCATTAAAGACATGGAAATTATTAGCAGAGGTCTACTAAATCACGGGATATGAGAGCTGAGGAAAGAACAAGGACGAGAAGAAGGAACACACTGAGAATGGAGATGAGCTTCCAGGAGCTTGAAACAAACCTTTTATTCCCATATTTATTGAGCATCTATAATGCTTGAGACAATTTTGTAGGGGCTCTGGGAGATTCAGGTGCCATAGGGTAAATGATCTCAGGAAGATAGCAATCTAATTAGGGAAAACAAAAATGAATAAAAATCATACCATATAAAGTAAAATGGTAGAGCTACTATGGAACGCAGTTGAACAGTTTCTCAAAAAATTTTTGCCTTTAAAAGGAATGGGAAAAGCTGCAATTACTTTTGCACCAACCTAATATATGATCCAGCAATTCTCCTTTGAGCAAAAGAGTTGCTTGAACAAGTATCTCTACATCCATTTTCATAGCAGCATTATTCACAATAGCCAAAAAAGGTGCCAGCAACCCAAAGTCCATGGACAGATGAGTGGACAAACAATATGTGGTATGTGTAGACAATGGAACATTATCGAGTCTTTAAAAGGAAATTTCAGACACATGGGTGAACCTCGAGAACATTATCCTAAGGGAAATCAGTCAGTCACAAAGGACAAATCCTGTATGGTTCTATTTATAAAAAGCACCTAGAGTAGTCAAATTCATAGAGATAGAGAATAGAATCGCAGTTGCCAGGGGCTGGGAGGAGCGAGGAACGAGGAGTTAGTGTTTAAATGGTACCGACTTGCAGTTCAGGCAGATGAAGGAGTTCTG